TATATATATAAAATTAAAGGCCTATGAATGCACAGCCCAACTTTTACATCTAAAGTGAGTTCATTTTATGAAGATGAACAGAGTTCTGCTTTCATCAAACCTTGTAAGTGACATTATGCAAGATCTCATGCAATATTGTGATCTTGAATTAGTTGAATGTGTTGAAGGTGGCTCTCAGCCACTAACACATTAAATTTGATCTAATTTTCTGTTAAACCAGACGAGTTATACCCATTTTTGTGTTGGCTAAGATCAATTAGCTTTGCCATCATCTTGAATTGAGTTGACTCCAAAAGCTAATGAGTTGCTGAGGCACATCCAACACACACCAAGAGTAAAAACAGGATCGCTGTTTCCTTTTTTGAGTGATAAAAACAAAACACTTTGACAAAGAAATCATGTCTTGAGGGGGAAAAAATCTACTTAGTATGACCAGAGTAAAATCATGCAGGTTGTTTATTTCACACATCAGCAGGTCTTAGCTGCTGACACCGGAATATCATCGAGCTGAGCTGCTGGATCGACTCAAGCTGATATAAGATACTAATAAACAGCTTAAAACTCGCACAGGACGCTGCTCCTTTTCATGAATAAAACAATGTTCCTCCACACACACAAACTGATGCATCCTTCTCCGACTGTTGATTTCTTTTTAATCCACAAAAAAGGAGCCCATCGTGGGGATTGTCAACTTTTCATCTGCTTCTAATAAAGAGTCACCTGCAACATTCTGTCCTGAGATGAGGATATGAGGAATGTAAGAGCATCATCCTGAGGTGAAAAGTTCACMGCAGCAGGCAGCGAAAGAGCATTAAAAATAGGCCTTTTTCTCTTTAGCCTGAAGAACACGACATTCCTTCCTTTCATCAGAGAAAAAAAGAAAATAAATATAGAATTGGGGACGGCTGGAGACAGAAAAAGAGAGTATGTCAGTGGAAGAAAAGCGGGGAGATAGAGCTATCAGAGCTTCAACATGGCAGGATGTGACATGTGCAGAGCAGGAAGAGGAAACTGGACAGATATAGATTAGCTTGGTAGCCACTCCTGAATGTCTATCCCATTAAAGCCTCGGTGGTTGCTGATGATCAGAGCAAACATGTCGGGTATATTCCCAATCTTGGAAAGATTCTGCAGCAAACAGATCCACCACAGGAAGGCAAAATGGGACTTTAGGTCAAGTTTTGTTCTGGTCCTTTCCTCTTCTTTTTAAAACAGAGCTTACAGGCTCGTCAATTTAACATTGTCTCTAGAGTAAAAAAATAAAAAGAGGTGAGGTTTCACCCTTGGGTCAAATGACAAATCTAATCAGAATTAATATGGGTCATTAATTAGCACGTCTTTACTGCCTCTCAGCTAATTTCACCATGTGAACCTCTCACATAATAGGACAGAGTTCAACAGCGAGGCTTAATGAATTAACTACAAAACAATACAAGCTCTTTGTGAGAAAACAAGCAATTCTTTCATTTTGTTACAAAGCACCAGATTTTTTTTTCTTTGGAGGGGGTCTGAGGATTTCTGCTCAGAAAAAAAAAAACAGAAAAGAGCACAACTGAATAACAGCTTAACCTTAATGGGCACAATGTAATGAACTTTTATTCTAAGGTAAAAAAGCAATTATTTAAAAGGGGGGAATTTTGATTTACTTGCATTTTCATAACAACTGAAGGTAACACAGTTACTTGATTGTTGTATAGAATTGAACGATGTGCCTGGAAAATACACAAAACTGCAACTTTAAATACGAGAAACTGTAAATATTGTTTTCTTTTTGTAAATAACTTTGTGTTATGGAATGTTACAATGGTTATAGTCAAAAGGGTTTCTCTGTGGTGCATAAATACTCAGAGCATGTGTTGATTTAGGGTTTTCAGATTATCAAAATCTCATAAATAACTAAAATAGCAGAGTTGTAAAGTAACTAAGTACAAATACTTTGCTACTGTACTTAAAGGCACAGTGTGTAGGATTTTGTCAATTCTTTTAGCCGAAATTGAGGTAATCACTAATGACAATAATAAAAAACATGTCTAATCATTGCAGACAAAGACCTTGTTTKATTATTTTTACCTTATAAAAAGCTGTTTATATCTCCATGGTCRCGGGTCRCCACTACAGGCAGCCGCCATCTTGTCTACGAAGGCTCATGAAGGACAAACTGCGGTGGTGGCGTCAAAAACGGTTTTAGTTGTAATACTATAAATGTAATATTTGTTGTCTGTCATTGTAGCTGGGATAATTTTACTTATTAAAGCTCATAATCTTACCACTTGAAACATCACTAGCCCTGAAGCTGCTGGTAGACATCGCAGTTGGAATTATCAAAGGTTTTTGAAACTTGAGAGACACCGTAGCAACTCCTTTGTGTTTGGAAGCGGGGGGTGGGGGGGATTCATCCACTCAACCACAAGATGTCACTGAAAACAACAAATCCTACACACTGTGCCTTTAAGTAGAAATTTTGGTTATCTGTACTTTACTTAAACAATTATTTTTCAGCCTACTTTCTACTTTTACTCACTACATTTTTTACACTGTTATCTGTATTTTCTACTCACTACATTTTTTAAAAGGTAAGAAGTAGAAAGTCGTTACTCCTATTTTATTCCGAGTTGTTATTACTTAAAAAAATACTACCCTGATAAATTGTGTCTCCTGGATAGAGTGAATTTAATTGTGTTTGGATGAGAAGTATAAATATATACCATTCTGACACCCTAGTAGCTTGTACACGACTCATTCATCAAAAATATTTTTTTGGAGAAGTCACCTCCCAATAAATGTCATTTTGGAAAATCTAACTGCTCACTTTTACTCAGTACTTTTACTTTTAATACTTAAGTAGATTTTGTGTCAGAAATTTACTTTTGATACTTAAGTACAAAAAAACTCTGATACTTTAAGACTTTTACTCAAGAAATATTTTTAGAGAAGTCTTTAACTTTTACCAAAGTATTTTTATGATAAGATACTTGTATCACTTTGAGGTACTTTATACAACACTGTAAAATAGTCACCTTAAAATGATGTTTTTGAGCTTTAAATGTTGATGGTCTTTATACTAATAAAAAAAAAACAGCAAAGCATCCATGCGCATACTGATGTAAAGATTAATTAAATCTTTGGCAAACCATCTTCACAGTCATTTTGGATTAAATAAAAAGTTAATGAGTTGTAGATGTAATGTTTACGTTATGCAACTTTTATTAGAATCTACCCAGTGGTCATAAATTATCTTCTACTGTATAAATGAAAGAAAAGACAAATGGTTTGTTCTTATCTCTTCTGATAAATGAAAGGAGAGGCCCTCTGGATGTGTCTGTGGAAACTGAAGTCACATAACAAGAGTATCATGGGTGTGTCTGCAGCTGCTGGAATAAATATGATTAAATATGTTTGGACCCAGAAGAACATCTTATTTAAAAACTCTGCATCCTATTCAGAGAGCCACAACCTGCTGACCTCTGTGGGACAACTTCAAGTCCCTGTCATGAGTCCAGCAGAAGTTCAGCAGAAAGAGAGAGGTTCTGGTTGTTT